TTTGTTTGTTTGTTTGTTTGTTTGTTTGTTTGTTTGTTTAATATCCCGCCTATCTAGTCAACTCAGGACCACTCTAGGCGGCTGGACACTGCACTTTTAAAAGGATGCCAACAAACTAGAACCCATTCAGAAGGGGGCAACTAGGATGATCAGGGGACTGGAAAACAAGCAACACTGCCACAAGATCTCTTTGATCCCTTTCCGCCTCTTCTTGCTGTGGAAATGGCATAGCAAGAGGAGGGAAAGCAACAAAAAATGACCCTACAATTAACAAATTGATTCATTGTTCATCAGGTCACTGGGAGGCAATTTGGGGTTGGACTCAGTGACCTTAGAGGCCCCTCCTAACTTCATTATTGTATAATTCAATTATTTCAGTGGTATTTGTGTGGAAGAATCATCCTGGTTCCAATCATACATGGACTGAAAAAGAACTCCATTGGTGAAGGTTGTGCCATATAAAATGCATGATGCAGATTCCCAAAACAGATCACCTGCTGGAAGTGAAGACGGGCACAATAATGCTTACGCGAAGGACTATTGTGCCCACAGTGATGATCGTGGCGGAGACAGATGGTCAGGGCCACCAAAGTCTTCCTCTCTTCTCTCAGCTGATCTCTCTCTCTCTCTCTCTCTCTCTCCTCCATCCTATTCTGTCTCTCTCCCAATCCTAAATTCATTAGGAATAGAAGACCTACAAAGGTGTAGGGAGCAGGTGAGAAATGTGCCAAGCCCTACCCTATAGTGAATACGACATGAGAACTTGACCTGTGCTTGGGGACTAGGGACTTGAGGAGTATTTCTCCATGAGTGGAGGATCTAAAGGTCAAACTAGATAGGGATTGGAGATTCCCTTTAATGAACTGGTTTTTATCCTGCAGTAGGATTTCTTCGAAGAAGCAGACCTCATCCATCAGACCTGTACATTAAGTCAATGATAATCTTTCAGCTGGGCAACAAAACTAGTATGCTAAAGGCAAGGTGTCTGAGTGAAGCAAAGCGTGTGATATGAGAGACATTTCTGTTTGATCCCTTCTGTAAAGAATGGGACCAGCATCTGTTTGACCCTAGGTTTGCACCACGTTGTGACGGAAAGGATAGAGATATAGATATTCAGAGCGCGACTCTGTTGACTCACTCTACGGTTAAACTGGAGCCATCCGTCCACCGCCAGTTCCCTTCTTCATCTTCATCTGAAAGGCCAATCCAGGCAGGGAAATGCAGGTGAGCATTTATGTATTTCTGAAGAACAGAAGGAACAGATCATAGAATCACAGCATTGGAATGGGGCTTCTAAGGCCATCGAGTCCAACCCTCTGCTCGGGGCACAAATCCATGTCAAAGCAGACTGGGCAGAGGACAATCCAATTTTCTCTTGAAAGGCCTCCAGCACTGGAGTATTTCATCACCTCTCCCTGAGGTCATGGGTTCCATCGGCATACTGCTCTAACGGTTAAGAAACCGGAGAACCGGGACAGGGACTGGGCCGCAGGACTGGGAGCACTGAGCCAGCGCAGGAATGCATTGTTCAGGAATCCAGGAGCAGAAACCAGAGCAGGACAGCCCAAAGACCCAATACAGCTGAGCCAGCTTCTGGGAGGGAGAGTGCCCTTCCTTAAGTAGGACATCCCTCTGGGCTCCCAGGTGGACCTCATGAGAGCCCCAGCAGCTGCTGCCCTGGCAGGGCTTGATCCTGCAAACACTGGGCTCTTCCCGGGACCAAAGAGGTCCCAATCCTGCAGCTGCCAGGGCGGTGGTGCAGAGGAATCTATGCCACCACCCAGATCCTGACAATTACCCTGAGGGTCTGCTAGGCTTCATGAGAAGAAGAGTGGTCAATATGACCAAAATAAATAAAAAGCAACAAGCTCCAAATCTCCATATTGGAAGTACAATAGGACCACCACCACCCGTATCTCTTCCACACACACCCAGATACTGAAAATGCAGATGATAGCAAACACTATTATACTGTAATAGCAAACACTACACATCACATTCTCTCTGGCTCCTTCTAGTGGCTAATACTGGTAACTTCACCTTTCAAAATATATATTTATGGGATTTTTATTTTAATATTTTAAATATTTTCAGACCCTAGATAAGTGAATTAGCAGATACTGATCCCACAGATAAGGGGGTCCCTATTGTACAAACAAGTCCTTTGAAACACAGAGTTTTCTCTACACGGCTGCAGGAGAATCACCTTAACAAGGGCCGAATTCCTCTTCTCTTTCTCTATTTCATTTTGTTTGTGTTTTAAGATCACAAGTCCCTTTACTAGGCAGAGAGCAGACAGCCCTTCCAGATAGCCCTGTGGCCTTTGCCTCTAAAGCTCGCCCATAAAACTAGACAGTTTGATCACAAAGTCTCCCAAGAGATCTGTTGTCTCAAAAGCTTGCAGAGACATATTTCTGCCTTCTTCACTGGCCCAGTTGTAGTGATGATGGTGAAAGAGTTTCTTTCAGGAACTCTTCTTGTTTCACTTCTAATCATCTAACTGATGAATCTCTCATGAGCTGCTGCACTGCCAATGGTTGCTTTGGAACACAATTTGCAAATGAAGGTGTTTACTAATGCAAATAACCCCGTTACTATCTTTTTTTCATAGGCATCTGAGAAGCAGCCACAGCAGCACATTAAAATATATATTTAAATGTTTGTGCTGACATTTGGAAAGTACAGATGGAAAGGGAAACGTGTGCCCTGGAGAGGAAGGAAGAGTTTCTCAAGGAAAATATCAAGAGAAAAAGATTTTTTAAAGAAAAACTATATAAAACCTGCTCTTCATCACTTAGAATGGAGGCTAAGTGGGCATCTCTTGACATGCAGAAGTTCTCAGCATCATACCAGTTCTTCTGCCCCTTTGAAATATAGTAAAGGCTTCTCCCAAAGAGCTGCCAGTCACCTGAAGATCGGGCTCCTTTCCTGAAGAGGGATTCTAAGGAGGAAGGAGTCCAAAGAGAAATGGGTAAGAAAGAGAAGGTGTCAGGTGTCAGATTAGGACTATAGAGAGGAGGCTTCCAATCTTTGTTGAGTGGCACAGGGTGAATCCCTTTCCCAGGCTAATATTATACACCTCAGAAGAGACAAATGAGGTGGCAGCTTTGCATTTCAAAAGTGGTAAAACCTTAGTGCTCCAGTGATGTGTCCAATCAACACAGTGACAAAGCCCAAAGTTTCAGTAATTATGATCTGTTAGCAAGGATGTTCCAGCAGTTTCTCTCAGAAGCTTTGAAGATGATGGTAACTTTTAGGAGATGCCCAAGTACCTGGACACAGAAGGCCAACAAAATACAAATTGGCCTGCTGTGAAGTCAGGTTTCTCCGTGTAAATTCACATGAATTGGCCACACATGGAAAGAGGAGAAGTCTTGTTTATTGCTTGTCTCCTGAAACCCTCCTCATTTTCAGGAGACAAGGCTACAGGAGAATCACCTTAACAAGCTGTAAACAAGGGCCGAGTGGCAATTTCCTCTTCTCATTCTCTATTTCATTTTGTGTGTGTCTAGGTGCCATGCTGCAACAGTGTGGCACCAAACTTCTTTTAAAAGAAATGAAAAATAATTATTCACACAGATCCAGCCTTCCTGGTGATTTAGCACTGCCACAGCCACCCCTTGCCACCACCGTCGTGTCAAACATCAGCATCCTTGGACATACTCTTCTGCATTGGTTCAAGTGATCACACTGCCTGAGCTGATGTGAATGGATTGACTGTCAAAAAAAGGAGAAACCCCCACAATGACAGAGAAAACAACAGATGAGGCAGTGGAGCCTGGACTTACTTCTATTTGCTTGTACATCATCTGCTCAATGGGGAAAAAAAGCTAATCAGACGGACCCAGTCCTGTCACATTTCCTGCATTATATGCCAAATATCATCTTCATCATCATTTTGAAACTGCACAGCTGGAAGGGACCCTGACCATCCAGTCCAGCCCCTGTTAAGGAGGCACCATGGGGGGATTGAACTCCCAACCCCTGGCTCTAAAGCCAAAGACCTCAACCAATAAGCTATCCAGTGGTTTCAATGCAGCTGCACCCTCCAACAGTTGCTGCTGGTTTTAAGCTGATGGAAGTGCCTCCCAGAAGCAGGGGCAAACTCTCTTTTATACCTCATCCTTGCCTCCTAAGAACATTATGTGGATAAACTGGAAACTCACGATACATCACTTTCCGCTGGTTGAAGGCCCTTTCAGCTTCTTCTAGGTACTCTGGCAACCTCTCTACTTCTTCTGCTACCTTCATGGCTGAAAACAGGATCAGGAATTGATATTGGGCTCAGAACTGCTTTGATCCCTTTGGCAGGCAAAAGAACAGATCAAGTTGAAGGTATGGTTTTTTTTTGGGGGGGGGTGGAGATTCTGAAAACCACCTTAGAAGAGTCAAAGAAAGAATCTCTCCCTTCCTCCAAGGTCTGCTTCCTGGAAGGAGGGAGAGCAAAGGCTGAGTTGATGCCTCCCCAAAGGTACATGGTTTAAGGTCACATCTGGCCATGGCCCCCCTCCCTCGCCTTCCCCCACCAAGGAAGGATGGGGGGAGTGAGTGCGTGACAGGAGACCTGGACTCTGCTCACCCACTGTGGATGGGCCCACAGCCCTTCAGCTCAACGCTGGAGCAGAGCGCTCCTGTTCCTCAATGTGTGGCTGCCCTTCAGGGCTAAATTCTTTTCTTCCCCTTACGGTGAGGTTTCCCAGGCGTGCGGATTGCAAATTTGCTGCCTTTGATTTCGAGGCCGGCTGACTCAGAGCTAAATAGGGCTTTCCTTGGGGAGCTTGCTGTGCAAATGGAGCACAACAGTGGTTGTGAACCAGCGAGAAATAAAGAATTCTTTTCCTTCCACTTACGATTTAAGTAGTTCAGCTTCGGGTCCCTCAGCCCCGCGGCCATGGTGATCCTCAGCCTTCTCATGGGCTCGTCAAGAGGGTTTTTCTTTTCCGCAGCCAATGAAGAGTCTAAAGTTATTCAGAAAGGAGAGGCGCGAAGAGGGGATCATAGACTCTGAGAATGAATGAGTCGGAAGGGACCCTTAAGGTCATCCAGTCCAACCCCCCCCCGGCTCAAAGCAGGGATCCAAATCAAAGCAGATCTGACAGAGGGTGGCCCAATTTTCTCTGAAATGCCTCCAGTGTTGGAATGATCACCACCTCCCGAGGTCGTGGGTTCCATTGTTGCACTGCTCTAACAGTTAAGAAGTTCCTCCCACCCCCACTATTCAGCCTAAATCTAGCTTCCTATTGCTTGAGCCCTCTGTACATCCCAGTTGCCCAGGGTTATGCTCTTCTAAATCAACCCCTCAGTGACGGATGACTTACTGCCATGCTGAGGGAGAGACACTCGGGCCTCAGTCCAACTGCTTGGAGCAACAAGACTGGACTTTTGAAGCAAGTGCTGAAAAGTGAGTCCACACTTAGGGGAATCCCATGGACTCAGTGTTTATACTGTAGCCGGCAGCAATATTTTGAGTTGTTTTAATTTCAGTTGCCATTTAGTAACATAATGGATTTCATTATGGGTATGATCAAATTTATCCCGCTGTTTGATCTGCTCTGGGAATGGGTCGGTTCACTTCTTTCCCCCGCAATCACACAACATAATTGCTGGCATGAACCCTGAGCAGTCCTACCCACACCATTTTAGGTTCCTACTGTATTTTTTTGGTGTGGTAGAGTTCGCTCCCTTTTGGTTCTTTTCCAAAATGTGTGACCATTGGAAATGAACCAAAGTGGAAGCTGTGGCTTTAAATTTGCCCTTTTCTGTCGATTTCCTATATTGTGAAGTGGCTTAAGAAGACTGTCCGCTTCATGATATTGAGAAATGAAACACTTCATTGCTTTGCTCCATGGAGGGCCAGAGGAAGTCAAAGGTTTTTTCCCCCCTAATTGTATTAAGACAATGCTGATGCGCTGCATCACTTTGAAAAATCAAGAGCAAAAGTGACAGGCACCATTGTGTCCCATCCACCCAGCCCTGAATCAGCCTCACGTGGTCCTTTAATGCAGGGGATGGGGGTGTCACTACTTCTACCTGCAAAGCCACCCCCTCCCTCCACCCTATGGCTGTATCCAAACCCTATCCATGGATGTTTGGCGAGGGCAGGTGGCCACGTGTGATCCGTTCCTTCAACGACCCACTCATGAGCCCTGTCCTGACCTTGTGGGGGAGGGGGCTACACCGCTAATTAGGTGGAGCCACCCCTTGGCAACCTTCCACTTCCAAAACATGGAACCCAAGGGGAGTAGAACCAGCGTGGACCGTGCCATCAGTGATAGATCAGTGGGCAGTGGCGGGACCTTGTCGCGCATCTTGGTGACAAAGAAGGTTTACATGAAGAGCTGATGTCACAATTTATGTTACACATGCACTCTGAGTTTTAACATCCGTGGATGGGACATGCTGCTAGTCCTCATGGCAGCAAACCAGTCATTCATAGAAGGCCCATAATGGGCATGCCCACAGAATTGACACGTGAAGCTCAAGGATCTGTGACTTCCCTTCTCCTGTTTGGTAAAGGTGGAGGGGAAGTGGCTGGTCCACCCTTCTGGGCTCCAAAGCGTACATGGGAAATGTTGCCCCCTTCCCTCACTCACTACACGAGGGATGCTCCTTTTGCCCCTCCCCGACCTTTCAAAGAGCAGCATGTAAGGGGAAAAGGCCAACAGGGAGGCTGACTCAGTAGCCCCTTGGGGTGGGGGTGGGGGGGCTGCGCCAGCGCTCAGAGATATACTCACAGAGGTAGGCCGTTGCAATTAAGACGATGAGGCAGACAAAAGCAAAAGTCCCCAAAAAACACCACATGACGCTGGGAGGAATGATATCCGAAAGCTGGACCCGTTTACGTTCCGCGGCAGCTACAGGCGGCTTGCCCTTTTTCTTGTCAGCCGTGGGCGTGGGAGGAGCGGATTTACCTTTTGGTCCTGCCTTGGGAGCCATGGCTGGAAGGAGGAGGAGGAGGAGACATGTTTAGTCTTGAGAAAAGAAGACTGAGGGGTGATCGGGGAGCACTTTTCAAAGACTTGAAAGGCTGTCACACAGAGGAGGGGCAGGATCTGTTCTCAATCATCTCAGGGCGCAGAACACATAATACTGGGCTCAAGTACAAGAAGCCGGATTTACGTTGAATATCGGGGAAAACTTCCTAACTGTTAGAGCAGTACGACAACGGAACCCTAAGATGTACCCGAATGGACCCCTTCCTCCCCTTTGTGACTCATGCAGCGACATGAGCCACAAAGAGGCGAAGAGGGTACATTCGGCTGCATCTTACATCTGGGGGATCCAAAAAATCAAGGCCTTTGCAATGAAAATGGGACCCCAGGGCATCTCAAAAGCAGCAGACTTTTGCGCAAATGAAGCTCAGAAACATCTTAAGCTACACAAAGTTGGAAGAAAGGAGATGTTTCAAACAAGGTTGCCATGCTTGTCCATGGCAGCAAAACCAACTTAGAGTCTCCTGGCATCTCTAAGATGAATGGGTTTGACAAGTTAGATTTCACAAGAACTTGCTCATGTTAAACTGCTTCTTGGCTGTTTTTGAATAAAAGCCATTCCTCAGGGAAGATATGTTTTTGTGTGTGCGTGTACGCATATATGTCTTTGGGCATGAGCCGGTGTGATCTAGTGGAAAGAGTTGCGGGTTCAAATCCCTGCTTTGTCATGGAAGCTCCCTGAGGTGAGAGTTGGGTCGGGGGATAGGGATGGTGGGCTGCGCCTTGAACATCTCAGAAATCTCAAAAACCTTGTCAGCGTTGCCACAGCTTCGAAGTGACATGATGACATGCACACCACAAACACATGTGAGGAGTTCCTTCCCATATATCCTCATTGGCTCCCTTCACATCAAGCCCAGTCAACATAGATAGTAAACCAATCAAAGCAGAAACACTGTCCCATCATTTTCTCTTCCAGGCCAAAGATGTTCCTAGTCTTGGGAAGAATCATGGAATCATAGAATTGTCGTAGGGTTGGAAGAGACCTTCAGATCTCAGAAAAGACCAAGCTGGTCACAATCTGGGCCGATGGCCACAAGGCTAAGAAATGCATTATTCGAGGCTACTGTGAGCTGTGCTTACTTGGAAGAATCATGTCTTTCTACCTTTGTTGCTGGTCTTTGTTTCTTCTCTAAAAGCCTACCTGGAGGTGGACACCTCAGATGCCACACAAGCTCGTGTGTAGTTCCCTCTCCTAGTGCAATCAACAGCTTCTCCGATACCTCCCAAGGTTATTTTTCTAACATAAAAGAGCTCAACACCTACTGGGCTCAAGGATAAAACGGCTTATGGAACGAAAGAATCTCAGCCCCCCCAGAATGGAAGGTGGAGGTTCCTATGAATCTGGACACATCTACCAAAGAGGAACACTTGGTGCAACGAAATCAAGGTGATGGCCACCCATTGCCATACCTTCTCATTCGGGGGTTCCCCTTAGGAGTCACAGGCTACCGTTCAATGTCTCCCTTGCGCTTCTGCTGGGTGGGTTTCACCAGAATTGGGTGCTACGCCTCCTCGGTGTCTCCCATCACCTCTTGTGCCTTCCTCCAGCGGCCCAGCTCCCTCCCTTTGTCCTCTGGGATTCGCCCATTGAGCAGCCCTGCTGGGGCCCAATCCACCGGCTGATTGGCTGCCTGCTTCTTGCTCTGCTCCCCCCTCCCCCGCTTGCACAATGGGCCAGCCTTCACAACCACCTGCACACCTGGAGCCAAAGGGGGAGGTGGATTGTGATGGCATGGCCAGAGGGGGGAGGAGGGGGGAGCCCCAGGGCAGCCCTCCTCGGCAACCCAGGACCCACCATCCCAGGCAGGACCCACCCCTGCTCTGCTTCAGGCTGGTGCAGGTGAAGGAGTCACACTTGGCCGTGCCTCTCAATGGGTGGAGGTATCCTGCCGGCTCTCGGAGCCCACCGGTCTCCTCTCTTCACAGGGACCCAGAGGAGCTGTGGCTACAAAGAGATTACAGGCAGCTCCGCTCCAAAAATATAGTTCATCCTCTTAGTTCTCACCGTCCTTCTGGCGATTCTTTGTTCAATGACTTTCTTTCTTTACTGGCACTCTTTGAAGGTCAGGCCACGTTTCCCTGGACCAGCAAATCCAAAGAAAGGGAAAGAGAGTCCACATTCAGATGATGGAGACCAACGGAAGAAGGAAGTTGTTGTTGCTGCTGTTAAAACTCAGGCTGGGGCAGCTCCCAGCATCCCCACGCCTTTCTCCCTTCTCTCAACAGACTCAGATTTTCCCCCGCCCCCATAAACACCTTTTTTAGGTCTGGGGAAGATGTTTTGACTGCCTGCTCCCCTTTCAGCTTGGCACGGGAGTACCTGAGATGTTCATGCTCCAAGGTTTCTGCAACCAGACTCATGGGAATCTTCCACCTACAAAGCACTACAAGTCACGCACCTTTAGTTGTGATTGGAAGGCTGAGTCAACCTTGAGCCAGCTGCCTAAATCTGTTTTGGATCTAACTCGGGTTGTGAGCAGAATCTTGACTGCAGTACTACTGTTTAAGCACTGTGCCACAAAACACCGGAGACAATGTCTGGGTAAAATGGGAAGAAGCAACTCAGGCTGATGCCGTACTAAATCACCATCCTGGAAAACCTTTAGATATCTGAGATCAGCCAGCAGATGGATATCTGGCCAGGAGAAGAGGCTCCTCCTGCCTTGTTCCTAACCACCTAATGCCACCACATCTTTGGGTTAGAATATGGCACTCTTAGCGGGATGTGAGCAGGAGACAGAGGTGGATGACTTGAAAAGATGCATGTAGGAACCAGGTACATGGTGGCACTGTGGGTTAAACTGGAGAAGCCTCTGTGCTGCAGGGTCAGAAGACCAGCAGTCGTAAGATCGAATCCACTCGATAGAGTGAGCTCCCGTCGCTTTGTCCCAGTTCCTGCCAACCTAGTAGCTGCTGCTGCTGTTAAAACTCAGGCTGGGGCAGACCCCAGCATCCCCACGCCTTTCTCCCTTCTCTCAACAGACTCAGAAAACTCAGGCTGGAGCAGACCCCAGCATCCCCATGCCTTTCTCCCTTCTCTCAACAGACTCAGATTTTCCCCCGTCCCCATAAACACCTTTTTTAGGTCTGGGGAAGATGTTTTGACTGCCTGCTCCCCTTTCAGCTTGGCACGGGAGTACCTGAGATGTTCATGCTCCAAGGTTTCTGCAACCAGACTCATGGGAATCTTCCACCTACAAAGCACTACAAGTCAAGCACCTTTAGTTGTGATTGGAAGGCTGAGTCAACCTTGAGCCAGCTGCCTAAATCTGTTTTGGATCTAACTCGGGTTGTGAGCAGAATCCTGACTGCAGTACTACTGTTTAAGCATTGTTGTTGAGCACCAGCTGGTTTGAAAAAGCAGGAGAAAAAAATCACGCACCTTTAGTTGTGATTGGAAGGCTGAGTCAACCTTGAGCCAGCTGCCTAAATCTGTTTTGGATCTAACTCGGGTTGTGAGCAGAATCTTGACTGCAGTACTACTGTTTAAGCACTGTGCCACAAAACACCGGAGACAATGTCTGGGTAAAATGGGAAGAAGCAACTCAGGCTGATGCCGTACTAAATCACCATCCTGGAAAACCTTTAGATATCTGAGATCAGCCAGCAGATGGATATCTGGCCAGGAGAAGAGGCTCCTCCTGCCTTGTTCCTAACCACCTAATGCCACCACATCTTTGGGTTAGAATATGGCACTCTTAGCGGGATGTGAGCAGGAGACAGAGGTGGATGACTTGAAAAGATGCATGTAGGAACCAGGTACATGGTGGCACTGTGGGTTAAACTGGAGAAGCCTCTGTGCTGCAGGGTCAGAAGACCAGCAGTCGTAAGATCGAATCCACTCGATAGAGTGAGCTCCCGTCGCTTTGTCCCAGTTCCTGCCAACCTAGTAGTTCGAAAGCATGTAAAATGCAAGTAGATAAATAGGGACCACCTCGGTGGGAAGGTAGCAGCGTTCCGTGTCTAGTCGCGCTGGCCACACGGCCACGGAAATGTTTTTCGGACAAACGCTGGCTCTACGGCTTGGAGACGGGGATGAGCACTGCGCCCTCGAGTCGAACACAACTGGACTAAATGTCAAGGGGAACCTTTACCTTCACCTAGGAACCATGGAGTGTCAGCTTGTCTCTTTAAACATCTTCGGAAATTAACAACTTTATTTTCAGTTCATTTGCCCCGATTGAATAGGTTTTTTAAAAACATTAATTTTGTCTTTAAACTGTTATTTAATTGCATTTGCAAAATGTTTTCTTATTATTGTTGTTGAGCACCAGCTGGTTTGAAAAAGCAGGAGAAAAAAATGAATAAATACTAAATCTTCCCCGCTAGAGATCCCATGGGCCAGACCCCCTTTGCTTATCATGAGTCATGTGTGTAGAGAGAAGGGACACATCCCATCCTGTGCTGGGAAAGCCATTGTTCTAAGACTAGCTGCTGATCTGGTCTGAGGTCAAGTGCTCTGGAACCCTCCAGAAGACGACAGCTTCTTCCCCTCGCCCAACCCTGACCTTGGACAGGAAGGGCCTTCCGTCCCTCTCTGCTGGTTCCAATGCTGGGAAGCTTGTCTATGCGGATTCCTTTGGCTGATCAGGTCAGGGCCATGTCTACTCCTCTGCCACCAGGGAGGAGGACCGGCCATTTGTAAGGTGCCACATCTCAAAGGACCAGGTGCAGCTGGAGGCCAGGGGAGCGTCTTCAGAATGGGGGAGAAACCTGCAAGTTTCCTTTTCTTATTACAGTAGGACCCACATATCCACAGGATCAGTATCCAGTGATTCACTTATCCACAGTCTGAAAATATTAAAAATATTAAAAAGAAAAATCCTAGGAATATATATTTGTAAAGATGAAGTTACTATGACTGGCCACTAGAAGGAGCCAGAGACCATGCTATGTATCCACCTTTTTCTACATACACGGGGAAGGCTTGGAACCAATCCCCATTAATACTAGGCTCCTACTGTACACTGCTTCAGGTGAATTCCTGGCACCACCAGCTTTCTGTCCTCATCGTGACAGAAAGAATGTAAGCCCACTGATTGGGGTTCTGTCTGGTTCAAACCCACCCCTGACCCTACAGAGCAAATGCACTTCCAGCTTCAACCCCTGCTTTGCTTTGCTTCCCTTTCCCCTTTTGAGGAGGGGACCCTCGATGTACCACCTCCTCCTTTCCAAAGGTCTGCCGTAATGGTTACGTTGCATCTCCCATGGGGAAGAAGGGCAGCAAAGGACAGATATTCGTGGAGCGTTGCCCAGCTCCAACCAGAATTCAACCCACTGCAGCTAACAGATGATAGACTACACACTCCCATCACTGCTGTTGTTGTCAGAAGAAGCTATGTTTAATGGAATTGGATGTCTTTTATTGTGACCAGTAGATTTCCCGAAGGGGCTTGACTCTGAAAAGAAGGGTCTTCTGCCTTGCCGTATTCTTCTGTCGCTCCAAAAACCAGGCGTGCCAAATTCAGGTTTCATCAATATCCAGCTTCTCCTTACAAACCCACCTTCTCAGTTGGTGGCAGTCGGAATGCTCCCAGTTGAGTCCGTCAACAGAAGGGTCTATGAACGCACAATCTGAGTAGTCATCCAGAGGGGTGGGGACACCGCGAGACCAATACCTGGGGGAAGTGACCCAGAAAAGTCAGAAGGGAGCTGGGAAGACACACGCAGCGGAACAAGGAGGGGGCGAGAAGCCTTGGGCCCTAAGGGGACTGGGCATCCATGCAGCCCTTAAATGTTCGGTGAGGAGAGGGTGACCTTTCCAGGGATGAGAAAAGTCAGTTTGGGGGATTACAGCTCTTGGAAAACCGGGCCTGCACATATTGCTGGATACATGGCCTACGTATTCTGGAATACAGTGGGGTCTCTACTTAAGAACTTAATCTGTATTGGAAGGTGGTTCTCAAGTGGAAACGTTCTTATGTAGAATCTGCATTTCCCATAGGAATACATTGAAAACCATTTAATCCGTATCTGCTCTTTTCGGTCCATAGAAACTAATGGGAAGCTGCTATTCCGCCTTCTGCCACTAGAGGGGGATATTTTTTCTTTTTTTCCTTAGGTCAGGGAACAATGTTAAAAGCACTTCTGACGAAGCTAATTTTGAAGCAATGAACTGAAAACCAATTAATCCGTTCTGGCTGGTTTTTTGTTATGTAGAGGTGCGTTCGTACATTGAAGCATTAGTTCCCATAGGAACTAATGCAAAGCTGGTTAATACGTACTCTACCACTAGGGGGAGAATTTTTTTAACCTAAGATGACCTAAGGTTAAAAAAAGAGCAGGAAAGGTTTTTTTTCCTGTTCTTATCTAGAATTTCTGTTCTCAAGTAGAAGCAAAATTTAGCAAATGGAGCTGTTCTTAAGTTGGATTGTTCTTAAGTAGAGACGTTCTTAAGTAGAGACCCCACTGTATAGAGTCCAAAAAGGGTGATCTTTGCCAAACTCCAGACATTCCTAATGTTCTCTCTCCACCTTTCAAGACTTCGCGGTCTCTGGAAGGTGGGCATGACAGACAGAAAATGAACATCTGTGTGTGCAGGAGAACATCTCAGCTACTTCTGCTCCATAGCACAGACCTCTTTGCCTTTCTGGTTCTCCATTCCCTCTAAGGACCACTCCCCCAGGATTGTTTCAAGGGTGGACCAAAGAAGATGAGAAAATAGCTGTGATATTCATCATGGACTCATTATGCGGTGTTACATCATTTCCAACTGATGGCCCTCCTCAGAGGTTTGCCTAGGAACAAGGACCCAGGCACACTTTTCCATCCCCCCTCCCATTCTGGGACCACTCAGAGACCACTGTGCCACACACACTCTGAGTTATCTTGGCTGGTCTTCTCCCAGAAAGCCCATTGTGTGGTGGGATGAGCTCCTGGACCCTGTGCTCCAACCCACTGACCCCCACTAGCACAAAGTGTTCAGATACAAGAGGTTAAAACGGATCTCTCCAGATGTTCACAGATGTTTACGAGTCTACGTAATCCAAAGGAACTTCTTTCTAGCAAGCTAACAGTTAAATATTCAAAGCATAAGCAGGCCTCTTTGACTTCTCAAGACAACCTAAAGCTTCTGGGGAGTGCAAAGCTCTTCTCTGCCGCACCTCGTTCTGCGCTTAGGGAGGCTTCTGTAACCCCATCACCTCAGAGGCTCTGCCAAGACCTTGATCTGGCCCACAGCCCTTCCCGGGTCTTTTGAAGGGAAAATAGGAGGGGATTCAGTGACAGTCCACCCTCATTGGACTGAACCTTCCAAAACTCCAACTTGGTAGGGGAAAAAAAAGAAAAGAAAGTGGCTGTCTTGCTTTGCCCCTTGCCCTACGTCCAGCTTTTACTTGGGATATAAGATCTCAATCATCCCACAGAGCATGACATGTAATGATGGGGTCAAGTAACAAGGAAGCCAGATTTCAGTTGAGTGTCAGGAAAACCTTCTTAACTGTTAGAGCAGGACAAGAATGGAACCCATGACCTCAGGCGGGGGGGGGGGGGGGTCGTGAGCGTTCTAACACTGGAGAAATTCAAAAGAAAATTGGACAAGTGCTTTGATTGGGATTCCCTTCCTTGAGCAGGGAGTTGGGCTCAGTGGCCTTCGCGGCCTCTTCCAACTCCGTGATTCAATGATGCTCTAATTCTTTAAGACCTCAAAGAAGCATTTTACAAAGGGTGGAGGCTCTACGTTGTGCAGAACATGGTCCGACAGGGGTAGACACGCGGAAGCGGCACCTGCTGGGGCGCCCGCCTTGCAAACTCACTGTGTTATCACCCGGGAGCCGTCTGTCCATTCCCAGTCGCCCTCCACGTTTTCATCTGAAAGGCCGATCCAGGTGGGCTCACTGAGCTGAGTACTGAGGAAGAACTGCGGAAAAAGGAAAAGGAAAAGGCAGAGCCGCTTCACGTCAGCGAAGGCCATGTTCAATTACCCAAGCATGACCATCACAGCAACGGAGAGGGACCACTGCTCCTGGCCTTCGGATCTCCTCTGACATCTTTAGAAGGAAGACGCACACTCAGTTCTGCTTTCTGGGAGGACCTTGTCTCGCCAGCGCTCTGCTGAGGATATCCTCGAATTCCAGAGCAATCTGGACATGTTTGGAGGGCGGGCTTGCATGTGGAGCCCCGGGGGGGTCACTGTAGGGACTTCCACCATCATGGGGTGCCATGGGAGCATACCCTCGAATGCAGCCAAGATTTCCCCCTTGTGACAAAGCATTATAGCTTCCGGGTCTTCCCCCCCTCCCCCCATGACCCGATTTGTTTCTACTCTTGAACTTGATGTCCTCTACAAAGGTGTGCGTAAATTGGACTTCTATCGTCTCCAGAGTTGACCGACTCAACTGAGAACAATGGGAGATCCCAGCAGCCACTTTCACCTTCCCTCCCCCACCAAAACCACCAACAGAACCCCAAAACAGACGTGCCAGCCTGTTTTTCTTTTCGGTGGACATTTGAGCACACCTGTGTACAAGCGGCAGTGGTAAGAACCGGGTCCTCCAAGCTGGCTGGCATGGCTTGTTTCTGTGGTAAAGATCTTATTCTTGTTACCTTCAGTGGTGTGTGTGTTCGCATGTGTGCACACCCTCCTTCAAAACCACCTTCACATCTCATAGGGATATATTCTCTCTTTCCCCCCCCCCAGTTCAAACTCCTTCCCCCTTTCCGGCAGGGGAGGCATCAGAAGCTTCAGAGAAAGGTGCCCCCTCCTCCAGCCTCCACCATCTTTCGCTGTAAAAGGTTTCTCTGGGCATCATTTGACTCCAGAGACATTATGGGGAATAAAAGTGGCAAACAGCTGGACTGTGGTCCCTTTTTATTTTATTTTTAATTTATTTTTAAATCCTAGGGTCTTTGGCTACCACCAGATGCCAGGATGGACACCAAGAGGAACCTCTTGAAAAAGTGATCAGCAAAAACCACGCAGGAAAACGATAGGAGGAAGGTGGAAAGGGGGAGACCAGGAGGGGGCAGTGAATGGTCCCCCACCCCCCAAGCCATTGGAAGGGGTTGGTAAAGCTGCACCCATAGCAGCAAGCAGCCCACGTGGTTCGGAGCAGGTCCTTTCCCAAAGGGACGGCTGTGAGAGATCCCGGCACCATCGCCTGCCTTGACTCTGATCGCCTGCGTTGACTCTGAGGACCTCCCAAAGGCCAGGATGTGCCAAGTGAGAGATTCTGGAAAGCCTCAGAGTGGCAGGAATCCACTGGTCCTGATTAAGATCTGCCCCCTGAGGCAGCCACTTCCCTCCTCCTAATGGCAGGGCTGGCGTTAGGTTCACAGCTTTTCTCATTTTCCAGGTCCCAAATATTGGGCGGGGGGAAGAAGAAAGGTGTAAAACCTGAGGTTCAGGCTCTCCAAAGCAGCCCATGTGGTTCGGATCAGGTCCTTTCCCAAAGGAACGGCTGTGAGGGATCCCGACACCATCGCCTGCGTTGACTCTGAGGACCTCCCAAAGGCCAGGATGTGCCAAGTGAGAGATTCTGGAAAGCCTCAGAGTGGCAGGAATCCACTGGTCCTGATTAAGATCTGCCCCCTGAGGCAGCCACTTCCCTCCTCCTAATGGCAGGTGTGGTTCGGATCAGGTCCTTTCCCAAAGGAACGGCTGTGAGGGATCCCGACACCATCGCCTGCGTTGACTCTGAGGACCTCCCAAAGGCCAGGATGTGCCAAGTGAGAGATTCTGGAAAGCCTCAGAGTGGCAGGAATCCACTGGTCCTGATTAAGATCTGCCCCCTGAGGCAGCCACTTCCCTCCTCCTAATGGCAGGGCTGGCGTTAGGTTCACAGCTTTTCTCGTTTTCCAGGTCCCAAATATTGGGCGGGGGAAAGAAGAATGGTGTAAAACCTGAGGTTCAGGCTCTCCAAAGGACTGTCTCTCTCCCTTTACAAAGCCTCACATGAATGAAGAGGCTCGGGAAGGAGGGGGGTGCCTTCACTTGGCCCCGCCCCTTTCACAAGGACATCGGGTGAGGACCTGAGAGAGGACTCCCCCCCCCATGGAACTCCCTCCCTCGGGAGGTGCTGTTGGTTCTTTCCTTCCATGGCAGGTGAAAACACACCTCTTCAGAGGTTTTTGGGCAGTCAGAAGACCCTTGAGATGGAGGGGGGGTCTTTCAAAATTTATAATTTTAAAATAATGCTTTATATAGACTGAAGTTTTAAATCTCAGTCCATGTGTTTTAATTAATTGTTGGCTTTAAATGTATTGGATGCCCCCCCCGGTCCCCACTAGAGGAATAAGGCAGGATAAGATTAAATCAGGATAAATTTAAATATCAACAAAACCTGCTCATCATCTGTCAGGATAGAAGTCAAGTGGGCATCTCTTGACGTGCAGAAGTTCTCGGCGTCGTACCAGGTCTTCTCTATGTCCGAAATGTAGAACAGGCTCCTCCCAAAAACCTCCCAGTGATCACCAGACCGCGACAGCTTCCCTTTCTTGAAGATGGTCTCTAAGAAAGGAAGAGCGCAAAGAGACAGGCCTGACGTACAAACTGGCATCCCTCGTGTGCAAGCCTGCAAAGGGAGGGCAAGGCACCGCCGGGCGGGAAGCCTCTTGCTCGGTGTAGTAAGTCATGAGTCGAGCCCACCCACTGAATCTGTGGGGCTTACCGAAGAGTGGACTCACCCAATCCCCACCGATTCAATGGGCTTACTCTAGCTGTAACATACTATGCCATGGAGAGAATTTCAGCATGTTAGGCTGCTTCCCCCCCTCATTGAGCTCTCCTTCATCCAAGGTTCAGAACTCAGATGATGCTCTGCAAGGGATGCTTGCTTTGGCCTCAGTTTGGAATCCATGGCCTCCCAGTTCTACAAGGCGATGATATCCTGATCTCAATGTTTGAAATTCCATGGACTAGCTGGCCCTTGAATTCTCCAGCTGAGCCACGAGAGTCCATTTAGAAAAGCTAGATACTTACGGTACTTCGCTTTCCGGTGGCCATAGGCCTTTTCAGATTCTGCTAAGTGTTTCGGCAGCTGCAGGACTTCATCTGCTACCTGTATGTCTAAGAGCATTACAGGAGGAGTGTGAATTTCTGTAAATCCTTCTGTGCCCCTAACTCACTTGTTTCTGGGTTTGTTTAAATATCTGAATCCTCACAGACTGGGATACCCAAGATACGTTGGCTATAAAATGAAAGGCGGGCACTTTGTATTTGCATCTTGGAGATATAAATACGACCTGCAACACCACAGGTGCCACTAGGGCCCAATTCCCTCCCCAGAACTGGCCGAGCCACTTACTGGGCTTTGTACTGTGCTGGGGATCGTTGGTTGTCTTTGACACACCAAACCCAGCAGGAGCCCAACCGATCCTTCCCCACCTCCCCAGGCACCTGACCACTTGTGCATGGAGGCGGGACAGGGAGTCACCCCATTCAGACAGTGAGTGGACAGCTGCGTGGGGAGGCAGGGAAGGGCCATCTGGGCTCCTGCTGCGATTGGCGCTCCGACAATGACGGACCCAAGTACTACACAGAGTCCAGTGAGTGACCCAGCTGGTTCTGAGGGAGGGAATTGGGGTCCCCGTGGCACCTGTGGGGTTGCGGGCCATATTCATATCCCTGAGATACAAATACAAAGTGCTCAGAGACATGCAGGGAGACACGTCCTCCCTCCCCCTGCCTAGAGTGGCCAGCCGAGCGGGAAGAGTGTGGGGCTCTGGCCACAATTGGAAGGATGATCGGGGTTGCCACCACTATGGGATGCAAAACTTCCTCTCCCTTCCTGCAGCTGCAGTGTTCCTCCCCCCCTTTTCCCCTTTTTCTTTCTTTTTTTCTTTTCTTTTCCTGCTCTCGTTGCCCGAGCATGTTCCCTGGACCTCTCTCTGCCTCTGAGCTGCTACACAAAGTGGCAAGTTGGGTTTTCCTTCAAATCCAGACCCGTTCAGCTGGATCCCTGCACGGGTCCCGTTCCCCCATCAGCTGACTCAAAAGCAATTCCTGCTCTCTTTCCAAGCTTTGCCTGTAGTCTCTGCCCCTCCTCTGCGATACCACAAGGACCTTCCTCCATGCCCTCTTCTGTGACATCACTAAAACCCGCCCCCAAGGTTTTGGCCCGGAAATCTGCTGGAGAAAAAGATGCTGCTCACCTGGCAGTTGTGCAGAAGGGGGTGGGGGTGAGGTGGGGTCTGTTTCTGAACAGTCAAAACAAGTAATTATTTTCCATCCACTTACAACCTGCATAATTGAGCTGTTGGCTTTTGTGGGCCTTTGCGATGGTTTTTCTCACTCCCTGCAATGGCTCTTCAAGAGGGTTCTTCTTTTTTAAGGCCAGCTGTGCATCTGAAATCATGAAGACAGGACGGAGGCTAACAAGGGCCAAACAGTCTGTGGTTAAGGATTTACATTCCCAAGACAGCAGGTCAGCTCAGGGCTTCAGGTCTCAGTGGTTGGGAGTTCGATTCCTCACTGGGGCTGGACTGGATGACTCAGAGGGTCCCTTCCAGCTCGGCAGTTCTAAGGTTATCATCATCACCACCATCATCCGTAAATGCTTATAGATACCATCATGTCCTGCTTATTGCAACAAGGAAGTATAACTACACATAACTGTAGTGTAATGGACAGAGTGGTAGACAAGGACTCTGGAGATCTCGTCTCAAATCCCCAGTCAACCATAGAAATTTGTTGGGGGTGTGGAATGGGTATAAACCACTCCTTAACCACGTCTTGCTTACTTTGAAAGCCCTATTAAGAGTGACTGTTGTCATGAATTTGATTATGAAAGCTGAATAGAGATTTATTTTATAGGAGCAAAGTTAAGCTAGAAATCCGTTTGTGTCGGTGTGCAAGTTAGAACGAAGCAAGATGTCCAAGGTCAGTTCTTTTTCGATAGAGAAAAACTATGAAGAACAAGGGGACCTTTATCACGTAGCCAGGCAACTATCTCAACCCCGACGGAACAAGGACATAACTTCTTGATTTAAGAGAGAGGGAGAGAGAAGAGAGAAAAAGGGAGAAGATGGAGAGAAGACAGTCTGGACGACTGCCCAAACACATTGAGAAAATTCCAGCACGGAGGAATGAATGCCAGAGGAAAAACTCCAAATGAACTTTTATTTTTCAAATTAACAGTAAGAAAGATTTCTGTTCAAAAATGTAGTTAGCTGTTTATTATTTTGGTTTTTATAGAAGAAAATGACTTGTGGTGATGGCTGGGGATTTTTTTGAAAATGATTGATTATGAAAAGATGTCTAGTTTGCTTGTTTAAATTCATTTACTAATTTCTATTTTTCTAATAAAATATAAAAAGTCTAACTGTCTGAAAATTGGCTTCTTGCATAGACCATTAGCTACTATAGTTCGATAGCTACTTTAAATTGATTTCTTTAATCAGGCCACGTTTATTAAATGCTACCAATTTAGGGTCCTCCCTATAAGACAGTAGGAAGATTAAATCTTCTAGAATTCCTGGATGTTGTTTATGTAAAATCGGTTCAGACTTGGGAGAAGGAGTGAAGCAGTTGCCTAGGGTAAAATTAAAGGACCCAGTTTTACCTGATTAGGAACTGATCATTCCGGACCCCTCTCTGGTCCGTGTAAAAGCAGATTCTTAGGAAGCTCGCTTTTACGACAACTGTAAGTCAAGTTCCAACTTGACGGCACACAACAACAACTACTACTTGCTGTTGGTAGTGAGTTAAATCTAATGCTCTACTCAAAGCTGTGGCTTAGTGGATGACACAGGAGGGGAACGCGCCTCCCCAAAGAAGGCATGGCTTCTTTCACGACTCTGAGAAAAGTGCATCGGTCATTTCCGTGTGCATTTTGACAGAAACGTGGGGAAAATAACTGTAGGAACATAGTAGGGAAATCCCAAGGAACAAGAGCGAGGTCATTTGTCTGACCATCTCGCCCCTTCACAGAAGGCTGCCCAGCAGGAAATGCAAGGGACTCCTCCATTCCTTGGCCCCTCGTGGTTAGACGTTCACTTACATCCTACGCAGGAGCCGACGAAGATGCAAAAGCACATAAAGGCAAAGGTGGCAAAGAGCATGTTTTTGAGTCTCGGAGGAAGCGCTTTCAGCTTTAAACGGTGTTTCCATGACGATTGTGCAGCTGCTGGTGGTTGAGGTGGTGGTGGTGGTGGTGGTTCTTCTTTACCTTTACCTTTACCTTTTGCTTTGGGAGCCATGGCTGGAAGGAAGGAGGGAAGGAAGGATGGAAAAGACAGAAAGATAGAAGGAAGGAAGGAGAAGACAAAGAGAAGGAAGGAAGGAAGGAAGGAAGGAAGGAAGGAAGGAAGGAAGGAAGGAAGGAAGGAAGAGGACATTCACAACATCAGATCACTGCTCCCTAAACTTAGAATGTAGCATTATTCCCAAGACGCTGGAGGCAAACGTGTGCTCATTGCTAAGCCAAAGCCAGATACACCCCATCTACCATACATGGCTAAGGTTGTGTCTTTTTCACTAGACATGGACAGTGAGAATTGCGCTTATAGGACAGAGCGAGAGGGAAACCATTCCATTTCCAAATGAGGGGGGCTGAAAGTTCAGCATCCAGCTCTTGTTTCTTCTGTTCTGTCAGCTCACTTGCATATCTCTAGTAAAACAATCATTTGAAGAGAAGGAAGTTGGGAGAAACTTTGGAGAGACGCCAAAGCCTCTACAGGTTCTCATTACAAGTAAAATAAGATATATCTTTGCACCCACACTTCCTAAACCAAGCATGTCTATTTACATTACCCAAATTCTTTGGAGAGAAGGGCCACAGGTAAACCAGGAGAGCTGCCTGGCGGGTATAAAAGTTTATGAAATCCCTCACTATAGAGGCTGATATTATAAACCATTGGCTGTGATTAGACAACATTTTGGCTGTGATTCCACCAGAACAGTAAGGTGGGCTGTTTGTTTGGACTGGACCACAAACTATGCTTTATTCCCCATGATCCTAGTCCCTTGAGTTAGCAAGGTTTCATTTTGTACTGAAACTATTTAGGTCCCTTGTGGAAGGTGAGGTAGGGAAGTTGCTACGCCACGCTCTAAAAGGGAGATCAGGCCAGATGTTGTCAATGAAACGTTCTGCATGCAGGAAGAGGATTAGAAATGGTTGAATGTTGGTGCCAGGTGAGTCTGGTTATGTCAGCAAAAGTCATGGGAAGGTTAAGTGTAAATTAGATCAGAGACAGGCAAGCCACGGGGATGGCGCCACGGGAAATATAAAAATGGCTCACTCAGAACCCAGGAAGAGACAAAATGGGCAACAGAGCGCACAACTTGAGGTTTTCATGCTGGCTGAAGCCTCTGGGCAAGAGATTCTCCTTCTTGAATTCCTGATGTGTTTCATTTCCTTAAGGTTACGAATTACTATTCCTTCCATTTAAGACAGTAGCAGCTCAACTGGTTCACCTTTCAAGTCAAAAGCAAGAAAATCATACATCGAAATTGCCTGCAGAAAGAACTATTTCCCACTGAGGGATCTGCAAGTTATTCCTTGGCTCAGAAGAGGGATGAAGGATCTGTACTGATGATATTTTAATATATGATTTACCTCTCCAAGGGGGTGACTGCACAGGCTGTTTTCACTGCAATTTACAGTGGATCGGGCACAGGTGAATTTAAAATTTAAAAACCCTGTGAGGACACAACACAAAGTTTAATGCGGGAAAAACCCATTCAGGTTTAAGCAAGAAATCATCTTTTTCTCATAGTTCAGGGGATAGGGGGGTTGCCTTAAATGTGTTCCCATCAGTTTCACATCACCCTTGTCTGCTTTCTCTCCATGTGATCGGAGGAACGTCCTCTCCCTTGACTGAGCCCTGCCTGTCTCTAAACCGTTTCTTAACAAAATGAAAAGGGTTTCAACCCAGTGCTAGAACACACATGCCCTCACTGGGGGGGGGGGGGGGGCGCCAGTGAGAGAGCAACATCAAGAGACGGAAAGGACGAGAGATGGAAATGGCTAGTTAGCCCTTGCTGGCACCTTCAGGCAGCTGACGCTTCTGGAGCTCCGAGGACAGAGACCTTTCTGCCCTGAGAATGCCTGCCAATGGCCATCCTTATGGCTACAGTGATTCCCCCGGGGAAACTCCACCGGATCAACTGGGAATACAGAGCAGGCTAAAGCACAGTTTTCTCTGCTGGGTAGATTCACTCTGAGTTCTGCTCAAATGACGAAACTCTTCCTTGGGGGGGGGGAGGTCTGCTGTGGAAAAACAGGCGTCCCTCTGGCCCCCTGGAGTTCACAGGTCACCAGGCTGCACAAGAAAGCTGAAGATGGGGTAGAGCATGGGGATCCTACAACCAGACACCCCCACTATTTTCCGTTTTCAGCTGCAGGTTTGAACCCGGATCTCCCGAGCCCTCTATCTGCTAGACCATACTTGTTCTCCTGCAGGCGTTTGCTGGCCAAATCTATCCACAAGAGACTGCAACAAAAGGGACAGAGGCGATGGCCACCCACTGCCGTACCTTCTCATTTGGGGGTTCTCCTTAGGAGTCACAGGTGGAATTGGCTGCTATGCCTCCTTGGTGTCTCCCATCACCTCTTGTGCCTTCCTCCAGCGGCCCAGCTCCCTCCCTTTGTCCTCTGGGCTTTGCCCATTGGGCAGCCCTGCTGGGACCCAATCTGCCTGCTGATTGGCTGCCTGCCTCCTGCTCTGCTCTCCCCCCTCCCCCGCTTGCACAATGGGCCAGCCTTCACAACCACCTGCACACCTGGAGCCAAAAGGGCAGGTAGATTGTGATGGCATGGCCAGAGGGGGGGAGGAGGAGGAGGAGGAGGCAGCCCTCCTCGGCACCCCAGGACCCACCATGCCAGGCAGGACCCACCCCTGCTCTGCTTCGGCCGTGCAGGTGAAGGAGCCACACCTGGACACGCCTCCTGATGGATAGAGGTAGCCTGCCAGCTCTCGCAGCCCACGCCTGTCAGTAACAGCATTCAGCAAAGATAATCAGGTCTCTTTCCCTGGAGGTCATTCCAATGAGGTTGGAGAATGCCTGACACATCTGCTGTAGACATGACAGATCCGGACTTCAGCAAAGCCTTTGACAAAGGGCCCCACGGCCATCCCGATTCAGAAGCGAACGAGGGTGTGGGCTGGTGAGAACTACCGTCCGGTGGATCCGCCGCCGGTTACAGCATCATACTCAGAGTGGGATGATTGATGGCTCCTTCTCCCACTGGGAGGAGGTAAACCGCCGGTTACAGCATCATTACAGCTCCTTCTCCCACTGGGAGGAGATAACAAGTATAGTCTCCTGATCCCATCACGGTTTTTTAGAAACATTTTTAGTAAATGATAATAATGTGCTGCCAACCTGACTCTGTTTCATGGTGACACTTCCAAGGTTTTCTAGGTATAAAGTGCTCACTGATGGCTTCCCTCTCCCCCTTTTCTGGTGATGCTCTGGAATGATTGTCACGGAAAGTGTGGTGTATTGGATGCACTGATGAACTAGAATTCAGAAGACCTGGGTTCGAATCTCTGCTCAGCTCTGGAACTTCACTGATGGAGCGGAACTGGTAAAATCATTCTTTAAATATATTACTTATCTTGAAAATCACATTGGAGTCACTACAAATTCGTTTCAACTTGACAGCATATGTTAGGCATCCTTCAGTCTCGAAAGACTATGGTAGCGTGCTCTGTATGGAGGACTTGGAACAGCGTCTAGCGTGGCTGAGGAGGCCAATTCGAGAGTTACAATCTCTTCCACACTGAGGACAAACCCAATCTGTCCCCTGTCCGGCTCCCTGGTTTTGCTGCTTTTGTGATTTCCTCTTTGCCTCAGCCTGCTGGGCAAGGGTCTCTTCAAATCTGGAGAGGCCGTGATGCAATGCCTGCCCCCAGGCTGACAGCATATATTGTAACATATATTCATTTATTTTTATACAACAACCTATATACACATCACTCAGGGAGGCTAGGAGTAATTTGAACCAGCATTAAAGCTAATAAAATGAAATTAATACAGTAAATAGCAGTAATTATATTAGCAGAGTATAGCAGGCTAGTAAAGTGAGCTTATGGCTCTGAATTAGTAACTTTGATTTGGGATTGCTCATACGAGCAAGATAAAGGAAAATAATTATGTTTATTATTCCCCCTGAAAAAAAAAACAGTTCAAAATAGGATAAAACATGGCCCTGAACATAGAAGCCTCTAGAAGAGGAAGCTTCTCTCTGTGCCAGTGGGCAGAAGAGAAAGTGAAGGAAAAAGAAAATATTTACAGAGATACGGAATTTTGCTTCACCGTTCCTTCCCACGCCCAGTGGTCTAAGCAGTTTGTGAACCAGGCAAGAACTGCAACAAGGTCCGCTTTCAGATTTCAAAATGTGGGCACAGACCAGATCGAATTGTTTCAGGAGAAAATGAAATCAGGCCGACAGTGGCGCAGCTTGGGTGGCCACCACCTGGGGCTTGACGACGTTGCCTTGAGAAGCAGCAGGGGATGGGGCTCGACGCTGGCACAGCCCCCCTCCCTTCCAGATGCCCCACCTGCCCGGGAGAAGGGGGCCGGGCTGCTCTGGGGCCAACTTTCTCCCTCTAGGCCACCTTCTCCAAACCACCGGGTCCGCTCAGCCCTCGCCAAAACCCCACAGAGTGAGTGAGGCAGCCACAGCCGGAAAAAGGGAGGTATGCCTTGCCCACTTTCTTGCCCGCTGTGTGCGCCACCTTGCCCAGTGGCAGGGCTGAAATTTTACACGCCTGAGAATTTTGTGCCTCGGGCCACCGCCCCTGTGGCCCGGCCCATGCTACACCACTGAACGCAGGCGACGCTGAGAAACATGCAGGTTTCACGGTGCAGCCTTCAATGTACGAGGCTGCCCCAAAGCACTACAAGATTGTAGAAGTGGGCAAGGTCCCACAAGGTCCTTTACTCCACCCGTTGCCCACCCGCAGCTACATCCTCCACCAATCCAGTCTAACCATTGGAAGATATCCAAGTCCCACTCTTCCCAACATGTCACTGGGATCCTCCTTACTGGACCCTGGACCCATTGGTTTGGATCCAGTCTTCCGGAGAAGCAGAAGATCAATTGTGCCATGAAATGGCTCTTCTATCATTTTTCAAGATGCCATCAGATGGCAATAAAGGATCCTGTCTGATTGGGCTGGGAAGGGTCACTTCTCTGAGAGCAAACCCACCCACCCCCTTAAGGCCACGCTTCTGTGCCTACAGGAGTTGATCCGGCCCCTCTCCAGAAAGAGCAGCCCGGGTGCTGGACCTAAAGGTCCGGTTTGGGTCCAGCGTGTGAGAGATCACCGTGTGTTCTTCTGACCCATTAGCTTCCATGAGCTAAGTTAAATACAGAGCCATAAACATGGAGTTCACTTGTAACAACTTTATAAAAGGTTTATTAATGACAGACTTTAGTATTTCAGTAACAAAGGTCCCAAATATAGCATTGGAGTGAAAAAGAAAGAAGGTGGTTTGCCTTACATATTCCAGGCAAGTTTCTTTAGCTTTGAAGAACATTTCTAAACTGGGTAAAACACCCCCTCCTCACCTCCAGTGGGAGGGAGTTCCAAAGGAGCAGCCACAGAGAAGGCCCTCTCCCATGTCCCCCCCAATGCACCTGTGAAGGTGGGGGGAACGAGAGAAAGGCCTCCCCGAGGATCTTAATTCCTAGGGAGGCCTATAGGTAATAGGTCTTCTCTGCCGCAACAGTTCTCCCGAAGGGTTTTTCCAGCACTTTCATCACAAGCCACACCTCTCTAAATTTGCTCTCCTGCAAAGTTCTTAATTATCGTTTCCTTGTGATTAGAACAAACCCAGTGCAGCTAAAAAAGACCAGCAACGACCCACTCGAACCCAGAGCTGAGTGGACAAGCATGACTTCCTGATTTGTGCCCAGTCTCCACCCCAAGCACGTAAAACACAGCACATGTTGCCAAGTCAGGATGTTTGTTCTGACCACAAAAACCACATGCTCCTTCCCGCCTGGAGTTTCAAAAGACCCAGATGAGGAATCCTTTGGCTCTGTGACCGTCCCCAAGAGTTATCTCGCCTGCCTTGAGAGAGAGAGAGCAGCTTGTTCAAGCGCCCGTATTGGGGAGCGCAAGAGAATGGCCCGAGAAATCTCCTACGAAAACGCGGAGGTGTTTGAACCGAAGGGTAAGGGCACGGTGGAAAGATGGGAAACCAAGTTCCTTTTCTCTTCTCTTCTCTGTTCTTTCTTGATTCGTATGAGAGCACTGCACAATTTAAAATTATGAAAGATGGGTAAAAATTAAAAACCAAATTCAAATGTTAAGGTACTTAAACTATTTTTGACCAGAGGTGGGCTACTTCAACAGGGTTATCTCAGCCATTTGCTAGTGTGCACATCCATGCTGCATTGACTGAATTTCTCCACAGTCACAGAAAGTTTGTCCTGTATCTAAGTAGCTCCATTTTACTGGGTTATTGTTTGCTCTCCCCACTCAAAGTCTCTGGAAGTGACTTCCAGCTGGTCCAGCTAGATCCATGGTTCCCAACCTCGGGTCGCTCCAGTGTTCTTGGACTGCAGCTCCGAGAAGCCTCCCCCCGCCCCGCTGTGCTGGCCGGGGTTTCTGGGAGATACTGAGCTACAATTTTGTCCTGGTAGGGCAAGGCTCTTCAGCATTCATGGATTCGGCTTTGCTTTTGAGCTTGAGTGGTGTGCATGATGATTTTCCATTATTTTATCCATCATCTAGGGCAAGGGTCCATGGACCAGGCTGCCAGCACCGGGCTGCGGAGACAAATCTCCCCCACCACACACACGCATGCAGATGCACGCATGGCCCCCCACATGCTAAACCAGTCCGTGGAAGCAAAAGAGTTGGGGACCACTGATCTAGGGGGTTGGCGTTCCACGAAGTGGATGGGTTTGGTGCTGTCTTACCTTATTTCATTCATTATTTGCTAGCACCTCTTGATGTATTTCTGGAGGGGCAATGCCAACCCAATAATACTTTTTCAAAGGGGGTAGGTTTCAGGCAGCCAATAATAATCCTGCATGATTCATTAAGAGTGACACCCACTTGTTTAGCATGTGCTTTTTAAAATACTATATGGCACTCTGAATGTGGAGGAGCAAGGAAATCTAATTTTTGTATCACTTTTGGAACAGGCAACCTTGCTCCTCTAATCCAGTATGTATAGCAAACGAACACACACACACACACACACAAGGCCGGGATTCTTTTTGCTGTTTATGTGTACATAAAAGAAACTGAAGGTTCCCAAGGCGTTCTTATGATACACATTGCATGTTGGTGGTCCACCGGTCAGAGACCCAGCACATGGACATCAGTAAAGCAGCTGTGGTTGGTAAAAACTCCCAGGTTTGTTTGGTTTTTGTTGTTGTTTAGTCATGTCTGATTCTTCCTGACCCCCTGGACCAGAGCACGCCAGGCCCTCCTGTCTTCCACTGCCTCCCGGAGTTGGGTCGAATTCATGTTGGTCGCTTCGATGACACTGTCCAACCATCTCATCCTCTGTTGTCCCCTTCTCCTCCTCTTGCCTTCACACTTTCCTAACATCAGGGTCTTTTCCAAGGAGTCTTCTCTTCTCATCAGATGCCCAAAGTACTGGAGCCTCAGCTTCAGGATCTGTCCTTCCAGTGAGCACTCAGGGTTGATTTCCTTTAGAATTGATAGGTTTGTTCTCTTTGCAGTCCAGGGGACTCTCAAGAGCCTCCTCCAGCACCACCATGGCCATCCCTGGTTTTTTAAATGGGTGTAAAAAAGCAAGATGGACTGACACCTAAAGAAAGCCACAGCTTTGAGTCTGTAAGAGCTGAGCAGATCTGTTAACGAGAGGATTTTTGGGGATCAGCGTAAGTTAGAGAGATGACTTGATGGTACCTTTGGGGGGGGGAAACCACAGACACACACACACACACACAAAACCAAGAAGGTTCCGGCCATGAAGTTTTGCAGCAGCCATGAGACCGGCAGGTCCCAATGAAAGTGTCTCTCTAAAAGCATTTTTAAAAAGGATTGTAACGCACAGGCACGGATCCTGAAACAACTCTGATATTCTAGAAGATGCTGCAAAAACTTACTGTTTTGTTTTTGTTAAGCTTAATGTTTACATGTGGAAACCTCAGCCTTTCAACCAGTTCCGGATCTGGTGATGGGAAAGAAAGAGCTTTTGCAGAGGAGGTGGGGCCTCGCCCCCCCCCCCACTTCAGAGTCTGGCCTCAGCAGCCTTTTGTAAGAGAGACCACAGTCCTCTTTCGACCTTCCCCTCTTCCTTGTGCTTTCTTTAAACACACACACACACACACACACACACACACACACACACACACACACACACACCCTGAAGTCTCCCTTTCCCCAAATTAAGGGCAGGTTCTTGAAATGCATGCAATGCACAATTCGCATCAGGGCCTATCCGGCTGCTACTTGATGGATGTCTGGGTCTCTCAGAAGGTTCTGATTCTGACCCTGGAGCCTTAAAGAAAAGGCAGGGCCCTCTAGCACTTCACAGAGGAGAGCAAAGCTGCTCCTACTTGGGGGCCGGCGGTGGCGGTGGCGGCAGATGGTTCTTAGATGGCACCTCCTAGGAGGATTGGCCATTGGCTGCCACCGACTAGAACGTCTGGGAGTTACAGATCAACAGGATCTGGGTCCAGAGCTGAGGAACCACTGCCCTTAGAGAAACTCCAGCTTTCTGAAATAAACACCAAGGCTCACCAGCTATGCCTCAAGAAAAGCTGGTTGCCAGGGATCTCTCTGTTTGTCCGTTTGTTTGTTTGTTCGTTTTTTTGCAGACCTTCCCCTGTGGCAGCTTCACATGCAGGGCATGGTGTGCACAACTGCGTGCATTTATGGGTGTGCCCAAGCCCATGGCAATCCTCTACCTTACTTATGCAATTTGGGGAACTGTGTTGCACAAACCCAGTAGGACCCTGTCCAACCTTTTAAGGTTAATCAGCCATCCCCAGCATATTTCTGTGGGTTGTGGGCCTACAGAATCTGGGGCCCACGTTTATAAATCCCAGTTAGATTTATTTTATTTATGCGCTGCCTTCCTCCCCATAAATATCTGCCTGCTCCAGTGACAGAGACCTAAAGGATTGTTATCAGCCAGGGCAACACAGGGATTTCTGCCTTCATGGCATGGGGAAGATGGGGAAGGTGGAGTTTCCACCCTACAAAATGTCTATGATGGGTAGAAGCAAAGGAGGTTGAAACCCAGAGAATGTTAAGTCCCTCTTTGCTCATTATGGCTCTGTCTGTGACACCCTATTGTTTGTTTGTTTGTTTGTTTCGAAACCCAGAGAATGTTAAGTCCCTCTTCGCTCATTATGGCTCTTTCTGTGACACCCTATTAATATTTTTTCAACCCCACTTTTCTCCTTGAAAAGGACCCAAGGCAGCTTACAACACTGAGAGACCCTATTTAAAGTTGAATACAACGAGTAGACAGCAGTGGCTAGCATCACGGTTAGTCGATATTTAAAGCTAAGAACAATGAATAAGGAGGCATCTTACATCATTAAATGGCCTTCCCACAATCAAGATGGGCTCTCAATTAACAGCAGCTTCAAACGCCAAATGAACTTGAGATGTCTTCCTGGAGCAGAACTAGCATTTGGCTTCTCAAAGTCCCAAACATGAGCAAAAATCCAGAGATTTCTGCGTTAGGGGGCAACTTTCTCAGTGGGGCACAGATCAGAGGTACTTAGCCTTGCGACCTCAGGTGCTGGTGACGGCCATCCCTGTCGGAGCTTCACAGGTAAGAGAAGGAAAAATTAATCTGCTGTTGCCCTGCTCTGCTTCCAGAGATTGCTCTAAAAAAGTCCTCTGGGAAGAGAACCACCTTCGTTCTGACCTTCCTCGCCCTTCTGGCCCTCCTGCTCGCCATTGTGCTGCTCGCCTTGGCCGTTCTGTGTAAGTACAACCACCCAGATTTGAATCTGGTTTCACCCCACCTTATCTTCAGGGCTCCAGGACATCCCACACCCTCTTCGGTTGCTCTTTATTTTGAGGAACCCTCCCCTGGATCTCCACGAGAACAGCTTTGCGCCATCTCACTGTTTTGGATGAGCTCCTGAGAAGAGCTAAAAGCCGGTCCCCTTCCCATGACAGCAGCAACAAGCGATCTGGCCAGAGCACAGAGCACATGCAAGAATCCGTCATATACCGTGGCCCTGGTGAAGTGCAGGGCTCTTTTGCNCGCCCGGGGGGGGGGGGGGGGAGACCCAAACCATTAAAAAAATCAGAGAGGATGCACTTTTCTAATATGAAGTGTGGTCCCCAGTACACCTTGGTTAGCAAACCGTCCACTTTTTCAAACAAAACTTTTAAAAATCAGAGGTGACCTTCTGTCTACTTTCTGGTTCATTTGGACTAGGAGCGCCATCAAAACCGCTAGAAAGTCCTTGAGCTAGAAAAATGGCTCTCAGAGGCCTGGGCTGATGCACGCCCTAAAAACAGGATATTCCTCTTGCCGTTGCCACCCACCACCACCACCACCGGCAGCATTTCTGGACTTCTGTGGAAACCTCTGGTTTCTCTCCCAGTGTCCACCCTCCAGCCGCCTGGTTCCTTTTCCATCAACCTGAGCTAAGAACGGAAAGCTTTCTAGCCTTTCCTGTTACCGGACCAGCCCTTAGCCCTTGACAATGGACGGCAAAATACTCCAACAGATCAACCGGGAGCTACCACTCCAAACCAGGAGAACATACATAATGAGAACACACCCCTCCAGAAGGTCAAGATTCTGGATTCAGACGACCTGCTCTTTGGGTCCCTCCAAATAGGAACAAGCCCCCACCCCCTGCTCTTCTGGGTTCTTTGGTGATTAACCCTGCAAATATGTGTTGTCAGATCCTGATTGGGATAACTGACTCCTTAGGTGCCCTACAAGATTTACAGGCCTTCCAGGCAAAGGGAACAGATTCGTCATCGCTGACATTATCCCAGGATGAAACCAAATAATCGGTCACGCAAGCTGTTTGTAAACTCATCTGAGTATCTCATGATAAGTGTCTTCATCATTGCAGTAATGCCACACCACTCCAGAACTTCTTAATTCTGTACAAGTTCCATTCACCTGCATCATGCCTAAGTTCTGTATGAAAAGTCGAAAAATCTGACAAACATGTAACTTTTGGGGAGTCACAGGTGGGTCGCTTGCTTTACTTGTAGATGTCCAGAAAGAAAGGAAGCTCACAGAACTGGAACGAGCGGCAGACAAAATCAAGGCTGCTCTTCGGCTCAGCAACGTCTCCTTCGCCTCTGAGGGTAAGTTGCCAAATGCAGGAAAAGGGCCCTTCTCCGTTCGGCTCCAGGCTCAAAGCCCAGGCTGCCGACAAAGCAGTCCGAATGTCTGAGGAGGGGGAAGGAAGGGTCGTGTTTGCTTGTTTCGTTACCCTTCTTGTTTTCCATTGGGGATTTTTCCTTGTCTGTCGTGAATGGAGGACTTCTAACGTGCTTTAGTGAAGTCCGTTTGCCCTCACAGCTGATATAGGAAGTATATTTTCATGATGTCCATTTTACAGACAAGACATGGAGGCTGTGAGGCAGGAACCTACCCAAAGCCACACAGTAAGCCTAGAGCATGGACAGAGTTCCGACTCCAGTCCTCTGAAGATGCCAGCCACAGAGACTGGCGAAACATCAGGAAGAACAACCTTCAGAACACAGCCAGAGCCTGAAAAAACCCACAACAACCATCAAACATGAACTGGTTGTGGTTATTGGACTTCCCCAGATAAAGATAGAGGATATTTTCCCCCTTCCGCCCTGCCCGGTAGACCTACATATCCTGTGGAACAGTTACGTGAAAGCTTGCACTTCCCCAGGTCACGATCTTTCCCCCTCACGACATCGGTTTGCATGCCCAGCCAGCCCAGAGTCCAGGTCTCTCACCCCACTTGACCTTGACCCCCAGCATGTGATTTCTTCTGAGAGGATACTTCCTTCTATGCTTTCAGATGTTCAGCTCTTGGAAAATATCTCCGAGGCTTTCTCCAAACTGCAGGCCCACTTGGAGAATGTCAGTGCATCACAAACTGCGGCTCAAGACCGTTACCGTGAGTATCGTCACCACCAGAGCAAACGGTTTAGTGACTCTGTTTGTCCGCTCTCCTCTCTCTTTTCACTAAAATGCATCAAGCAGAGGCTGGTGCAAAAGTTGTAACTTCAGCATTGGAGGGCGACCCAGCCCCGAAATGTGCTCCAAGAACTGCCGACCGAGTGAACTCTCCATGTTTTTACAGAGCACTCCACTCCTAGTTGGCCTCCTTCAGATTTTACTGATTCCAACAGTATAATTTGGAGAATGTGTGTTTGTTATCATGTTAAACAACTGTGACTCTGTCGGAAGTCCTTGCTAGTGTAGCTTGGGCCACCCAGAGATCCAGCATTAGATCCCGATGTCCCATCTTTGTACCCCTGACTCAGAACAGTGGCTCACAACCTTGGATTCCCCTGACGTTGAACTTCAACTCCCAGATGCCCTAGTCAGCACGGCCATCAGTCAAGGGTTCTGGGAATTGTAGTCCAGCATCTTAAGGCCCTTCCCTTAGGGAATTTGGCAGCAATCACAAAGGCAAACAAGGACTTTATCATCTCTTAGATAAGAATAGAAGGGCATCTAGAATCTGCCGGCTCCAGGGAGACACAACAAAGCCACCTAGTGACCAAACTATAGAATGACAATATCCACAGAGTTGCCTTTTAAAAAAATTCTATAAATAAAAAGGACCACAATGTTTTAGAATTATCTTTCCCAAAATGGAGTCCTCCTCTGCTGAACAGAAATAATGGGAGTTGTATCTCAACACATCTGAGGGCCCTAAGGGAGAAAAGGCTGCTTTAAGAAATGTTCCAGCTTTTGGCCTTGCTGCCCGACCTTCTCCCCAGTTCAGAATCCAGATTTTATTCTTTGTTCCAAAAAGGGAGGCTTCTGCACTTGGTCTCTGCTGGCTGGAAGCTTTATCAGGGGAACTTCTACCTCCTTTCTCAAGAGGCAAAAAACTGGCATGCGGCTGAACAGGACTGTCAGTCATCTGGTGCGCACCTGACTTCTGTGACTTCCCGGCAAGAAATGGTGAGCATCCTCTTTTGAATATCAGGATTTGGCTGCACATTTTCCAAGCTCTGAACTGTTGGGCAGCCTGGTCAAAGACCCAGAAGGCCCACCTTAGCCAGCAGGTTCTGCTCTTGCAACTTTACCCACCGCTTCTTCTCCAGATGCTGCCAGCTGAAAGGGCTACTCTCCAGAGACACACAAGGTGTTCGGTTGTAGACCACAGCCCCCATACTAGCTGTGTGATTCTAGGAGTTGTTGTCCCTAAGCGCCTCCTGGCTCTGCTTATCTCTGTGCCAAGAACAGCTTCACCTGCCAACGTTTGCAAATTAAGGTGCCAGTAAGGGGCCACCTCCTGGCTCTGCTTATCTCTCTGCCAAGAACAGCTTCACCTGCCAACATTTGCAAATTAAGCTGCCAGTAAGGGGCAGGCTTAGTGGGGGGGGGGATCCATCAGCCATTTTAGAACTGAGGATCCATTGTCAAAAGAAGCTGAGAGATGGGGCTGGACACGATGCTTGCTTTCTGGAGCTTCCAGCATGCCAGCTTCAACTGGGGAAGGGAGCTTACTTCTGAGTAAGCGTGCACAGGAGTCAGTGTCGTCGTTCCAATGGCCCCACAAGTCTGGAGGTGGGTCTCCTGTTTCTGAGCCTGCCTTTGGACCCCTGCCGCTCTCAAGGGGCTCGAAACCGTTTTACAGGATTATCTGTCCAAGGAATCCAGGGGGCTGACCTTTTGGATCGGGCTGACAGACCACGAGGAAGAAGGCAACTGGACCTGGGCAGATGGCACAAAATACAACAGAAAGATCAGGTGGGTCCAAGACCAGGTATCGAAGTTCCAGGAGGCTCCTTCACTCTAAAGCCATGCAGCTGAGGTGGACTGCCACTGCCTCTCCAGAGGCTGCTGAACTACAACTCCCATCAATCCTCACTTTAGGGCCAGGTTGGCTGGAGTTGAGGGGAACCACTGTCAAACAACACTGGGCAGCAGTCTTCATTTTCCCTGAGTCAATGAGGGGACTGGAGGAGAAGCCGTCACGGCCGACGGAAGGAGGACTCCGTCTTGTCCTTGGGCAAACTTGTCTCTTGGCCTTGATGCTGGGAGAGTGTGGGGGGGGGCAAGACGCAAAGGGCAGAGGACCACCTCCTATGGGTGAAACCAGGCCTGGAGCACCAAATTTTCCATCCGCAGGGCAAATGGCTTAGGAACGCAATCCTCCGTTTTATCCGGGCAGCCATTCAAAGGTCCCCTCTGCCCGTCTCTGTTGTCCTCTTCCTGTGCTCCTCGACAAAGGTCAGCTACAGAGTTTGGAAAGGCAGCTTTTAAATTGATGGGGGAAATTCTGTTCTATCCTTCCGGGGCCTTTTGGGGCATCATGTACACAGATCGGAGGTGCTCCTTCTGGCCAGAGGTGAGCAAGCCTAGGAGATGTGGCAGGTCATGTTTTGTTGGCCTGGGACCCTTCAAGGGTTGCATGTTCCACCCACCCACCCCAAAGGAACATAGAATTAGGAGGGGGGAAGGCAAGGATGTCCCCCCACCCCCTTTTTTTTTAAGTTGCCATGCAATTTTCAACTAAGAAACTTGCTCACTGTTTTCTCTGGCACTCTTGCTGAAAGGAAAGAAGGCAAGCTGTCCATAACTATAACTGCACTGAGGGTTCTTCACACTGTACTTCTGCTGGATTTCTGAGTGGTAATTAAAGCCACTCACTCACTCACTCACTCACTCACTCACTCACTCACTCACTCTCTCTCTCACTCACTCACTCACACACTTTTGCTGGTTTGTTTTCAGTCTATTCTCGAAAGCTTCCATGGCCAGGATCCGATGGCTGTTGTGAGTTTTCCGGTCTCTTTGGCCGTGTTCTGGAGGTTCTTGGGATCCGATGGCTGTTGTGAGTTTTTCGGTCTCTTTGGCCGTGTTCTGGAGGTTCTTCTTCCTAACGTTTCACCCATCTCTGGGGCCATGGGCATCTTCAGAGGACTGGAGTCGGAACATACAGCGCATGGACAGAGTTCCTTCTCCTGTCCTCTGAAGATGCCCATGGCCACAGAGACTGCAGAAACGTTAGGAAGAACAACCTTAAGAACACGGCCAAAGAGCCCGAAAAACCCACAATACCCATGTTTTCAGTCTGTCATCTTTTTCCTCAGCCCTTCCTTGTTAACCATAAATGAACTGCTAGATAGCTCAGTGGTTAGGCATCTCACTGCAGAGCCAGAGGTTGGGATTTTGGTTCCCCCATGGTACCTCCTTGACAGGGGCTGGACTGGATGATCTGGAGGGTCCCCCTTCCAGCTCTGCAGTTCTAAGAGGATGAACATTTCAGTTTGCTGAATTTCAGCCTTGATTTTCTAACAATGCTTCCTGAACAAATTAAACACCCACCTTTTCCCTGCCCAGATTCTTGGGGCACTCAACCCTACCTAGATTGGAGAGGGGGGGGGGGAGAGAAATCTTCTCATCCTATACTAAGGGGTAGACTAAATGACCTCTTGGCACCTTCTGTGGGTAAGCTTCTCCCCTTCCCAAAATGGAACCAGGATGAGACTGATGGCAGGTGGGGTGGGAAGTCACAGCTTCTTGAAACAAATCCTTTCCTATCCCCAAAACTAAAGGACAAAGTTGAGTGGCTGGAATTGTGTTGGCTTTATAACTCTCTCTCTCTCTCTCTCTTTTTCCCACCTCTGTTTTTCCAGTTTCTGGGCACGAGAACAACCGGACAACTGGCACGGGGCCCCAGAACACCAGGAGGATTGTGTCCAGATTGCAAAAGCACAGTGGAATGACGTCAGCTGCACCTACAGTTACCGAGGGTTCTGCAAGATGCCCTTCTCCTGAGCACAGGGAGACGCCCGCAGCCCCACTGGACTGGTCTCGCCCAGCATCCTCCTTCCAGCACAGGACCACTAAATGCCCCAGAAGCTTACGAATAGCTGTCAATCCATAACAGACCCTACGCAGTGGCCAGCAGCTTTTGGTAACGGACTTAGTTCAACATGGTTTGAAAAATGAAAACGTCACCTCAGGGAGCTGGACAGAGGACAGGCAGTCTTTGTCTTCTGTGTGGAAGGGATTGTGTTACTGAACTATCGAATTGGCCTCCTCAGCCACACCAGACGGGACGGTCTTTGTCTTCCGTGTGGAAGGGATTGTGTTACTGTACTCTCGAATTGGCCTCCTCAGCCACACCAGACGCTGTTCCAAGTCCTCCATCCAGAGCACGATCCCATCGTCTCTCGAGACGGCAGGAAGGCTACTGCTACTCTCAGCAGGACTCTTTCCTCCAGAAGATGGCCGGCCTGACACACCATGGCAAGTTTAAGACCTTGCCGAGGCTTCAGCCTTCCACCTCCTCCAGCAAGACTAGTTCTAGAGGTCTAGCCGCCCCAGCCTAACAAATCCCCCCCCCACCGTTTCACGGGGTGAGGAGCCCTCTCCATGTCTTCCCGAAGACTGTGTGCTGCCCCTTTGTCAGAACTGGGATTAAAGCGCTGCTGAAGTGTCTGGGGAAGAAGAACAGGACAACAGAAACGTCATGCTAGCTTTCTGATCTCATTTGCCAACCTGTTTTCCAAACGGGTTCCCACTTACAAAATAGAAAACGTGGCCCTCCAACTCGGCAACAGCCAAACCCAAATCCTCCAAAGTGGACGCGGGCAGCAAGACTCACACCCCCCCCTGACTGAGGCACAGAACGATCAGCCTGCAAAAGCAGAGGGGAAATGTTCCTTTCGGCTCTTAGACAGGGCCAGGGATGATGAAAAGAGACAAGGCACCACCACCACCACCCGTGTCTCCCACTCCGATTTTTCTCTCCTGTGCAGCACATTGTGGCGATCAGCCTCCAAAAGCAGAGGGGAAATGTTCCTTTTGGCTCTTAGACAGGGCCAGGGATGATGATAAGAGACAAGGCACCTCCTCCTCCACCACCACCCATGTCTCCCACTCTGATTTTTCTCTCCTGTGCAGCACATTGTGGCCAAGCGATGCCATGCAGCGAGCCGCCCATTCCACCTAAGGGCAACCAGCCAAGAACCTCAGGTCTCCAGTTGCCCAGCTTCCAGTGGAGTCAGTCCCTGGGGGGGGGCTTTTCATTTGGAGAGTGAAGCACTCAGTTCCCTCTCCAGCCCCAGGACAAACTGGTCATTCCGGAAGAGCAGCTGCCCATGGGGCAGGACCTTCCCGAGGATAACCTCGATCCGGTCAGCTTTGAGCAGCACGTCGCTCCCGGAGCTCAGCAGCTTGAGGTGTTCCAGCAGGCTCTTCACCAGGAGCTGGAGGGCGCTCTCGGCTAGCATCAGGTTCTCGTGGGGGTCGCAAACCAGGGCAAAACCCAAGCAATGGATGCCCAGCCAGAGCACGGTCTTATCCTCAGCAAAGGGGTCCCCAGAAGAGAGACGGAAGACCCCCGACGGGACATCCTGGAGAGATACGGGCTCGTCGGGCAGCAGGACGGAGTGGTCCGAAGGGGGCCTCCCAGAAGCCTGCTGGTAGAGCCTGCACATGGACTCCACTTGCCTGTGGGTGGACAAGACGAGAGATCAGCCGTGAACAAGAGTCCTTTCTGGCAGCTTTCTCTCCTGCAGGAATGCGGTGTATGTTGCCGGCAGGGCACCTGCTTTTGCACCCAGTAGCCGTATCTCAGGGAAAGAAACCGATCAGCCATCATGAACAGCCACGCCAGTAGGCCTGCTAGGAAGGCTTGGCAAATCCTAGTGTCAGGCTGTCTTTGGTGACGTTTTGGATTTGCCGCTTTAAAGCATGGAACCTAGAAATTATGTAAATAAACGTGTATAGAATTTAAAAGTCCTGCCGTTGCCTGGTCTTATGGCAAGAATGCAAAATCCTTAGATAATTTACCCAGGTAAATTGCAAGATCTCAATACTGATTAATGGTTTCATTCTGGGATTAACCCTTTGGTGGGATCATGTCAGCTACAACGAATCATAGCATCTGCTCTCTTTGCCCCAGAGGTCTATAAATCCTTGTGGTACTCCTGAGGGGCAGGGGGGAGTCAGTTGTCCGAATCAGGTTCTGATGTTCGCCAGAGGTTCTCTACCTCTCTGTGTAACAGGAGTCATGGAAAATCTGTCAGGTAATTAAAACGCCCCTCCCCCCCAGAAATGTGGCAATCCATACCCTATGAGTGATTTCCTTGTTCCATTTATGGCCCACATTTCTGCTGAAGAAACTTTACTGAAAACAAGATCCTGATGAAACCACAACACAAATACAAATAGGATCAAAAGAAGCAAAAGTGCGATAAAGGAGGACACCCAACCCTTTCAAGTCCACTCAACAGCAGACTAGCAGGTGAAAATAACTGGCTTGGGTGAATCCATCTTTGCCTGCTGGTGGGAAGATAAAAGAGGGAGTGCCACCTAGCCTCCTGTGGCAGGGAGTTCCAGAGGAGCCACCCAAGAGCATCCTCCCCATCATCCCAGCCACACAATCCTCTGATGGCAGGGGCACCAAGGGATGAGTCTAAACTTAGAGAGGCTCTCTCTTCTGCCTCCAGCATTTCAGCTGGTGAAGGAACTGTCACCAAAGAGGTGTTGGACAGGGGAACAGACTGCCACAGGAGCCGGTACCTTTTAAGCAGAGGTTGGAGGGTTGCCTGTCAAGGTGGATGGACTGCTGAATTTCCCATTTCTGAAGGGATCTGGGCTTGATGATCTGATCGTCACAGCCCTACAATGCTGTGATTCTGTGAAAGCCACTCTCTGTAGGCCAAACCTGCACACAGCAGGATGATCTAAGTCACAAAGCACTTTGCTTTGAGTCCTCCTCACCCACAGGCCCACCAAAGCCTGAGCCTGTATTTTGTATTTCCCAGAACTGGCAGAAGCCAACTCTACATCACATGGCAGTGATACCCAGGTGTAGGGAACGATAAGGAGAGGAAATTGTGCCCTGCTCCTTGCCCCAATAGTTTTTTTTTTAAAAAAAATTTGGCTGGGAGGGTTATAACATCACTTAAAAGAGTGAGCGCAGAGCAGACGGGCTCTTTCCAGTCCAGCCCAGCCCTTCGAGAAGCCCTGCCCTGTGTTGGTTACCTGGCCACGACCAGAATCTGCTCCTTCTGGATCCGTTTCTTCTTCTCGCGATCAGCACCTCCGGCATCATCCAACCCCTCAGGACTGAAGACTCTGGAATAGAGCACCCGACAAGGCCCTGCCTCGTCCCCCGGCCGGCTAAGCAAAGTGTGGATCAAGAAAGCGTGAACCATGGAGGCCGACGGGCAGCTGCAGGAAGTGTGGGAGGTAAAGGCAAAAGACAGGATCCCTGGAGGAAAGAGAGCGGGCTCAGTAAGTCACCTCTAGGGCATCCCTGGTCAGAATTTGGGTTGCAAATATCCACCCCCACCCCACCCTACGTCCCCCTGCACACTCCTTTCGGGAGAACAGTTTTAACAGGCAGTCATGCGTCCTTATCAGTGGGATCAGTATCCGCTGATTCATTTATCCACGGTCTAAATACATTTAAAATATTAAAAGGGAGAAATCCTACAAACACACATTTCAAAAGAGGAAGTTACCAGAAACGGCCAAAGAGGGCGCCAGAGGCCAGGCGAGGGATCTGCATTCCCTAGAGCAGGGGTCCCCAACTTTGGGCCTCCAGAGGTTCTTGGACTTCAACTCCCAGAAATCCTGGCCAGCAGAGATGGCGGTGAGGGCTTCTGGGAGTTGTAGTCCAAGAACATCTGGAGGCCCAAGGTTATGACCTTGACATTTTAGGACTCAGCAGCTAGGATGAAATGAAGCAGGTTTGGTTGGGTCTGGGCATAGAAGTTGCTTATGGAACAATATAGGTGATGTGATGTTGCACTCCATCATGGCTGGAGAGAGAGAGGATCGTGGATATAAATGTAATGACCAATGACCACTGCTTTAAAAGCATCACAGAGGGTTCTAGAGAACCCAGTTCTTCAATGGGGAGAGACAGAACGATGGTCAGGCCACAGCATCGGCGGGGATCTTGCTCTCGGGCTTCCCGTGGCTTTGCTACATTATTATTTATTCTTCAGAATCTTTCAATGGGCGGCTGGCGGTGTTAAAAGGAAACAAAGTGAAACATCCGATTCTTGCAACAGTGTAACGAGCCTCACATTAAAACTCCCGAGAGGAGCAAGATGCACAGCCGAACCCGCGGAACCTCCCGCCACAAGAGCCCCAAGGCTGCCCAAAGGATCCCCGGGAAGCCTGCCCTACCTGCTCCCAAAGCAGCAGCAGCAGCGGCGGCGGAAGGCGGTGTTAAAAGGAAACAAAGTGAAACATCCGATTCTTGCAACAGTGTAACGAGCCTCACATTAAAACTCCCGAGAGGAGCAAGATGCACAGCCGAACCCGCGGAACCTCCCGCCACAAGAGCCCCAAGGCTGCCCAAAGGATCCCCGGGAAGCCTGCCCTACCTGCTCCCAAAGCAGCAGCAGCAGCGGCGGCGGAACGAGACCCGGGCCAAGCCCCCTTCCCACGACCAGCGCAAGAAGCCCGAAGAACGCGACGGGGAACAGCGAGACTACAGTTCCCGGCGTGCTCCCGCGCGGACCGGCAAGCGGCAACCCTCTGCAGCCGTGCCGCGACCCTTGCTGGGAAATGTAGGCCGTGCTACAGCACGCATGCGTAGTCGGAGACGGCTGTTCCGAAAGGGCGGCGGGCGTGGCTTCGCCTCCTCCAGGATCCAGAGGAAGGAGACAGCTCTGCTCCATGATTGGCTGGCGGGGAAGCTGTGGGCGTGCCCAGCCCTGAGTAAAGGGGAGGGGCAGAGAGAGAAACGAGGAGTTGTCTGGGATTGGTCAATGGTTTGTCCAATAAGCGAAGGGAAGGGGGCGGGGAACTCTTTGGGAGGCTGGGCGGCCTCGGGCATTGCCGAAGAGTGATTGGCTAGAATGTTTTCCGAGGCCCTTTTAAGAATTCGTCGGCCTTCCAGAAGAGGGCGGGGCAAGGCGGGGCCTTGTTGAGGGAAGCGCGTGGCGTGAATGGAAGTGGGCGTGGCGAAGGAACGTTCGGTCCACATGTGGGCGGAGCTTTCCTTTGATCCCAGTCGATTGAAATAGTTTAATCTAAAATGTATATATAATATACAGTATACATATATATAGATTAAAATATTACAGCTAACTTGGAGATAGATAGAATGGTATATTTATTTATTCCATTTGAAGGCTGCCTTTGTCCAGATGAGGAGACTCAAAGCTCCTCAAAACATTAAAACAGGTGAAGTCAAAACTACACATGAAAAACACTATTAAATTGTTAATAATAACTAAAAACACATTGATTCAAATATTGAAAGCTTTTAAAACAAGCTTGCTTCGTTAAAAACCAGCGCCCTGGGACTCTGTCGCGACTGTTAGAAGCCTGCCTGAAAAGGTGGGTCTTCAGCTGTTGGTGGAGATCCACCCCAGAGGATCCACCCCAGAGGATCCACCCTGGAGAAGGCCTGTTCTCTGGTGTCCCCATCAGCTCTTCCTGCGCGGGCCATGGGACCGAGAGGAGGGCCAGACTCCTCTAGTGATCTTAAGCACCGAGAAGGCTCATAGGGGGAGAAGCAGCTACTTTCAGGTAGCCTGGACCCAAGCCATACTGGGCTTTGTAGGCCATGACAGCGCGTTGAACTGGTCCTTGAGACAGACTGGTAGCCAGTTCAGTTGTTATATACAACAGGGGCATTATATGCTCCCTTGTAACTGGCCCCAGTCAGTCATTTGGCTGCTGCCTTTGGAGCCAGCTGAAGTTTCTGAACCGTCTTCAAAGCCTTTTGAGCCAGCTGAAGTTTCTGAACCATCTTCAAAAACAAGCCCTGCACAGAAAGTGTTACAGCAATCCAAGCAGGATGTAACTAATGATATTAGATATACTCCCATCAGCCAGTCTGCATGATTAACAGAGAGCATACATATTTATTGCAGTCCATGATCTGCTGCTTCCCATGTACACTTCATTCATCCATCTACCTGTAAGAAATCCCTGCTTGCCCAGTAGAGGGGAAATTAAGAAAGGAGAAGCCAAAGAAGACGGCAAGCTTGAAGGCTGGCTTCTTTCTTAACCTGGTAAATGAGACCATGGACAGGCCAGATTATATTTCCTGCCTCTCAACGGAAGAACGCCACATTAAGATTTCAAAGCAAAACAGTTAATGCAAGGAATTGTGATCAGAACCAACTGTAACGTTAAAGTCTCCAAGAATGAACAGCAGCTCTCTCTCAGGGACTTTTTTGATAGTAGCTGCCAGATCGTCGTAGAATTTGTCTTTCACTTCTGTTGTAGACGACAGTATTGGTGTATATGCACTAATGAGAATGACCGGTCCCGCTGATGAGTGGAGCTGCAGAGACAGGATTCTTTCACTCCCCACAGTAGGTGGAACGATGGATCTCAGCAGAGCATTTCTGACTCCAAAGTCAACACCATATTCCCTGGTCTCATTCAGTGATTTTCCCTGCCAGAAGAATGAGAATTTTTTTTCTTTGATAGAGCCGGAGTTGGCAATCTCGTCTCTTGCAGGGCAACAATGTCCATCTGCAGTCTACTCAGTTCCATGTCGATGACAGCTGTCTTGTGCACGTCGTCTGTTTACTGCAGGGGTTCTTGTCCAAACATTCCAAGTGCCCAACTTTAGGGCAGAAGTTTTCTTATGATTATCACATGGTGCAGGGTTATCTATCTGCTTGTCAGCTTTCACTCTACCCCCCCACACACCTTGTGAGGTTAACAAACTGTGGTGAGGCAGCTCCTTACAGCTGGGGGCCCAGCTTAAGGTGGGCAGTAACTACCTAGTGAGGTGCAATGACCCCTGGTGTCATGTTCTACGCCAGTCGAGCAAAGACATTTGGTAGCTACGTAGTGAGGTGCAATGCCCTCTCTCACCATCAGAAGTAGCCCCCCGGCACCATGCTCTATGCCAATTAAGCAAAGACTTATAGCTGGTAACTGCCACTTCCCGTGTTATTTTGACGCTGTATGGGTGGCTGGAGTGTCCCCTCCAGAGCACAAAGCCAAGGAGAGAGCATACGTATTTATTGCAGTCCATGATCTGCTGCTTCCCATGTACACTTCATTCATCCCTCTCCACACTGCTGAAATGGTCCAATGGAAAGGCGAGAGCCAATACAACTGGTTTCAGCGACGTTGCAGGAGTTGACAGAACGACATGAACTGCCTCCAGGGCTCCGACTCCAGACTTTGCCTTGAGGTTAACTCCGGAAGCCTTTTCCAAGAGTGAATATAGCCACAAGGCAGTGGAAGCTTGAAATCGGAGTTTTCTTTCTCCTAGATGGGCTGCTTTCAAGGCTGAGGAGCCCCACCTACCTGGGCTGCTCCCTGATAGTGCGGAGATTAGAACACAGGCCTCCAGCTGCCCGACCTTGTCTTCCAAGAGGACCACCAGCTGACACTTAGAGCATTACGGCTAGCATCACCCTAATCTGGAAGCAACCTTGTGGCATAGAAGGTCCATGCTGTTCAAAAGAGGGCCAGCAGGGGGAGCCTGAAGGCCAGCTTTTCTTTTGCTGCCACCCAGTAGCAGCCAATCGTTCATTTCCTCCACTGAGCTCAAGGTGGCGCCCACGACCATCCTTCACCTACAACCATCCTGCGAGGTAGGTCATGGTGAAGAGGGAGGCCTGGCCCAAAGCCCTCCAGGATGTTTTGGTGTCTCTTTGGGGACTTGACCCTCCATCAGTCGAATCCCAGTCCATGCGGGACTGGAAGGAGAGCCACCAAACTGGCTCGAATCAGGGCAGCCCATCTTTCCTGCCATGAGGCCAAGAGTCACCCGTGGTCTTCTCACCTTTTTCTATCCTCCCAACAACCCTTTGAGTGACTGGCCTGCGGGCACCATGGCGAAAGAGGAGGTTCTGGCGGCCTTGGGTTCAAGCCGGATTCTTCCAGTAAGAAGATTATCCCAAAAAACAAGGATAGAGGAAGACACCCGTTTGCATTAAAGGGCATGTGCTGATGTCCACGGCGTTGTGGTGTGTCGTCGTGTTGCTTCCAATGGACGGCACCCCAAAGAGGTTTCTGAGGCACACGCGATGTTCAAGGAGCCTGTCCCCTTCATTTCAAGAGCAAGGCAGGGATTGGAACCCAGCACCCCAGCTGCTGCACCACAGGGGATCTCACAACCGGGTTTTCAAGGTATTTGGGAGGGGGGGTGCTCACAGAGTGGCTGCCCATCGCCACACACCCCCAGCGAGTGCGCAAATTTGTGGCTGGTGAGATGATTCGGAGATTTCCCCTCCATCATCCCCCTCCCTCCTTCTGCCCATGATCTTCCACGGCCAAGCCGGGAGGTGAACCCA